AGTATTGTGTTGGCCACTTATTCACATATCTGATGAGAATACTTAAATACATTCCCCTTCAACACGGGAAACAGTGCATTTCCAATACATAACAAAAATATTATAAACATGTAAAAATCAATCTTTAAAATCATTTTCTTTTTCTATCTACAAAAACATGACTGCCACGTGTCAATGTGGACGATACACACAGCTTTTCAGAAACCTCTCCAAAGTGAGTTTCTGCGACAGAGAACATTTCCGTATATCTTGGCAATCATTTCATTTTTTCACCAAAAGCGGTCATTCATCACGTAGCGATTTGAAGGCCCGATCGAGGAAGTTAACAAACATAATCCAGCCCACGGTGCTCATTCATTCTCCGTGAGTGCAGAGACACCTCTTAAAGGTATTTTGTCTGTTCACCAGTTGGGGTGAGTGAAGGTGATGTTGTACTGCTTTGCCCAGCGTGAAAACACCTGTTTCTCTGTAATGAAGCGGTGGTGGTTTCCTCTCCGGGCGCTCTCGCTCTGTATGTAAGTGACACATTCATCAGGCCCCCTGGGTTTGTAGTAGTGATACGGAATCTTCTTGGATCCGGGTTTTTTTCTGGAAACCAAAATATTTCATTATATATTGGTTGTGCTTGTGATCTATAATAGTTAATTAGTGCTGAGGTTATACTCACCCACAGTGATTGGGTGGAACCATCCCATATACTTTGATGTTATCGCATATCTCAACAGCGATGACCATTGTGAACCAGCCTGTGCTCAACCACGAGTGAGATTTTTGTCTGAGCAGGAAAAATGAAAAGAGAAAACTGAGTTTACCCTATACTGATGTAACTATATATACTAGAGCCTGACCAATTTATTGGTTGATTAAAAATGATAAATATTATATTATATATGATATATAATTGTATTGAATAATCCAGGGGTTTACTCCCTCTCTAAATACTCACCTGTCTCGCCCTGTCTCCTTATGAAAGAGACTATCGAATCTGCGCATCTTGCTTGGTATGATACTGAAACACGACAAGTTACTGTAGGTCATGCTGACTCTCTGGATCAGTCTGTACAGAGTCCCTTTGCCTTCCTTCCCAATCTTGTTCGGGGGTCCCCAGAATATGATCACAGGGTTGTTGTCCATGCGATGTAAGAACTCGGCGGGCCTCCGGACCACCCTGAACACACTAGAGTGGGCCACAACCCTCAGAGTAGTCCGACTTCCCACATCCGTTTCGTAACCCAGAGTAGGAGCGTCGTTCATACGAATCACACACTCCGTACGGTCGATCTCTTCTCCCGCTTGACTCCCCAAGACATGGCTGGAACTGGTCACCAGCGCACAGCTATTACAGTGCAGGGTCATATTCTGAAAGGGAGACAACATTAAATACATACTGCACACACTACTCTCTGATGAAATAC